AACCCTACACCCTAAACCCTAGAAGCTAAGCCTGAAGGGCTACAGCCATACGGCCTCCACCATGAACCGCCTTCCATCGTTCTACGTAAACCCTAAAGCCCAGTCGCATGGTACTACACCTAAACCCATAATGTAGGGGCCTGAAGAATTAGAATAGGGTTCCTTTAAAGGGTTCCTGAAAAGGGATACTATAATGGTTCTATAATGTAGGGGCCTTAATAATTAGAATAGGGGTTGGGGCCCATTATACTATAATCATAGCAAGGAGCCCCCAAGATAGTATTGGCAATCATTTACACCCCCACATTAGCCCCTAACGTCTTGAACCCGGAAACCTTCAACCCCCCGCAAACCTGAGAGCCCCAGAAGTCCTAAGCCTCATGTAGCTTAATAATTACCAATGCTAATTTGGGGGTTCCTGATCCTGATTATGGGCCCCAAAACCCTATTAAAATTATTAAGCCCCCTTCCTTTATAGAACCATGAAAGTATCCCTGTTAAGGAGCCCTCTAAAGGAACCCTATTCTAATTATTAGGGCCCCTGTATACACTAAGCAAGGCAGCAAAACCAGCAAGAGCTCGCAGAGACGATCCAGCGGTCTTGAACTCGGACAGGCGTATGGGCTGTAGTATATGGAGGCCTTCATAATTAGAATAGTCTTTTGGGGGCTCCTTATTATAAATATAGTATAACATATCCCCAAACCCTATTCTGATTACTAAGGCCCCTACATTATAGGGATTAGGGTTCCAGTGTTTAGGGCCTTCTGTTTTAGGTTAGAGGGTCCTGGACTTTAGGGATTTGGGTTTAGGCGTTAAGGGTTTCATGTTTTCGCCTATATAGGACTCTTTGGGAGATGAATCTGTCTGTCTGGGGACTCTCAAGGAATGGAAACTCCATTGTATCTTTGTATCCCAAACCGAAACTGTAAACACCCGCAGACCTAATATAGGGGCCTTAATAATTAACATAGGGTTTTGGGTATATTATACTTTAATTATACCAAGGAGCCCCGCAAAATAGTATTGGTATTACCCTTAGCCCTAAACCCTAAACCCAAACTCCTACCCTAAACCCTAAAGATTCAGGCCCGTATATTAGATGCTAACTTGGAAACTTGGAACCCTTGAGCAGCTCCTTGACAAGGAACTGCATGCGCAAGAACCGGATCGAGGATTTAGGGTTTAGGGTT